ATGTATACTCAGCTGTGCAAGGTCATTTGGGAATCAATTGTAGGGATTGTGGTTGCGGGCCGGAGTTTGAAAAGTGCACTGTTGTAGCCAAACACCGTCACCAGCTAACACGAGAGATTATGGAGGCCAACGAAATGCAAATGCTGTGTGATCGATGTATCAGCATGCCTTCGCTTGCTCTGACTAAAAAGAAATCGAGTTTCAGGCTTTCACACAATAGACTGTGAACTTGTGCTGAGCTGTGGCGTTGTAACTTTATAATTAGATGATCACTATCTTGCTGTGATGCAATAGGTTGCGCCATTCCGCAGTGATGTTCTGTCACGAGTATAAATTTCCAGCGTTTTCGCTAATAAAACTTCAGTTGAGGTCAGCGCTCTTTCTGTGCTTGTTTCTTCTGTAGTTACGTCGTAACTACTCGTAGTCTTGCGCTGGGCAAATATGTTGATTCCCAATCACCAACTAGCCTAAGCATCTGTCTTAAAAAAACTCGATAAGACAGCCCAGTATGTTTCTTTTTTTTTTTGTGAATGCACGTGAAATTCTTGTCCAAAAAGCACTATTCGCACTGGCTCAATCTAACCGATGCTTGGCTATTTATTTTATTTATTTTTTGCATACTGCCAGCCACCTCTTGGTGGCCAAGGCAGGAGTGATACAAACTTTCATACTTGCAGCCACATATAACACTACACTTCACGGCGCAGAAATAAAATCACCACATAACAGGTTTGCGTGGAACATGGATACTCGGGTTACAGGAGCAACACAAGAGCGGTATCGAACATACAATCCAAATTTTTATTCCTAACACGAAGTGTACAAACATCATTAGAAGAATTAAAATTTGCACATACGACCAGACAGCTTTTACTACAAACAGGCAGTGGCAGCTGATAAGAATGCGTCGGGCGCTGCGATGCTGGTGACGTCATGAGGTAGTTCATTCCAGTCGGAAATTGTTCGTGGGAAGAATGAATATCGCCGAGAATTTGTTTTTGTAAACGGCACCACTATGGTGTCATCATGCTTGTTCCGAGTTTTTCGCGATGTATTGCACTGCATGTAAGTGTTAAAGGCGAGTCCTGAGTGTCCGTTGACTATGTTATAAAGGAATTTTAAGCGATGTAGCTTTCTACGGGACTCCAATGTGGGAAGAGCGGATCTATTACGGAGTTCAGTGACTGAACAGTGTCTACTGTACGCGTGGTAAATAAACCGAAGGGATTTATTTTGGACTCGTTCTAGTAAGTATATTTCTGTTTGTGTGTGAGGATCCCATACAACGTCAGCATATTCCAACAATGGGCGTACCAATGTAGTGTATGCGACTAGTTTTGTTTTGCTGGTGCAGTGCCTCATGCGATGCTTTAAGAACCACAATCGCCGCAGTGCTGCTGATGTTATGCCTTCGATATGAGTTTTCCAGCTCAAATGAGAAGTGATTGTCAGACCAAGGTATTTGTACTGGTTAACAGTTGTTATAGCAGTGTTGTTTAACATGTAAGTGAATTCCGAGGGGTTTTTTTTACGTGTTATGGTCATCTTGACGCACTTTGCTATGTTGAGGCTCATTTTTCAGGAGTTATACCATGCTGTAATAACCGATAAGTATTCATTTAGGGTGGCGTGATCTGTTCTTGATTGAATGGGCAGGTACGCAACGCAGTCATCCGCGAAAAAACGACACTGCACAGTAGATTCGGAGGACATGTCATTTAGATAAACTAAAAATAAAAGTGGTCCTAGGACAGAGCCCTGCGGTACCCCAGAATGCACGGGAGCGGAAGAAGCATTTTTATCTGCTATCCGAACGTGTTGGTGTCGGTGGGATAGATAACTATCGAGCCATCGGAGAATTCTTTCATTGGTTAGGATTAGGCGAATTTTATGGGAATGGGAAACTTGGTCGAAAGCTTTTTCGAAGTCTAAAAAAATCACATCAATTTGTCCGCCTTTGTCAAGTGTTTTTAGAAAGTCATCAGTCAATGCAGTCATCTTCTCTTTAAGTGGTGTAGAATGCCTCAATAACTTCCCTGGTCAGCTGAACCCTGTGACTGGAAAGTACTTTAGTCTCAGGGAACAGCGAAGCGAAGCCACAATCTAAGCAATGCCGTCTAATATGAGAGTAAGCATTACTTGCTAATGATCTCTTGTGCTTTGAAAGCCCCGTATTCACGCACCAGCCAGTTTGGCCGATGTGCATCTTTCCACATGGTTAGCAGCCCCTTCTTAATCTTGGCTCGACTTTCTGTATGACAACAGCGCACTGTGGCGAAAGTGAGCTAAAGAGCGCTTTGCACACGATAGTTGAAGGCCCGAAATTTTTAGCCCCACTGTGCTTTGTTGTCAGCTTCTTATAGTCGTGGTGCGGGGGATTTCCTTCAAGAGCTTCGCAGCCGTAACCACTTTATCAAGATGTTTGCTGAAAACTTGAGGCTCTCTAGCAAATCAGAAAGCTGGATGGCGCGCGATACGGACAATTTGCCAGTTGACATTGCAAAGCCTAGCTCCCTTTTTAAGACCAACCCTTTCGTTTTTGGGTCCTCGTCTGCCTTTCCTAAGGCGTCTTTATGCGAGGATACTGCAGGCAGGTGTGAACTCAGTACAACATCAGTGCCTCGAGCTCAGCAGCACAAATTGACGCGGTGAGATTAACAAAAAAAGCCCTATATCTGCACGTTTCACACCAAATGTCCTCTAAAGACGATAGTATTCCATCTGAAAATAGTCAATAAAACGTTTGCTTGAAGTAATGCGCGAGAAAATTGGTGAATGAGATTCTGGTGGCGCCGCGTGAGACATAGGTGGCATCTGCCAGTAATCTCCGAAAACGAAGGGATGGCCTCCGATATACTGAGCGCGCGGCGTGTGTGTGCCATACCGAAGGCCGAAATTTGTAGTATGCAAGGTCACGAGTATCAGCCCCGTATCACCTTCGCAAGGCCTAGGAAACGCCCGTTGATCGTGCATAGCGTTGCATTGTCATATTGGCTATGGTACTTAGAATTGCTTGTGTGTCTTTTATATAGTATAAAAACACGCTACAGAATATTGAAACGCTATTGTTGGGCCTCGGACGTGCGAAATATTAGCTTTTGAATAAGGAATTCGCTCAGGTATGAGCTCTGAAACCAGATCAGAATTGGTGTGGTAGGCATTGAGGAAGGTACTTAAGCCTTGTAGCTGAATCATTTTGGTAGACGTGCATGTCGTGCGCCTCAAGGCGTTTGATGCACGTTAGAGAACCTGCGGTCTATAATTTTCTCCTTATTGTTGAAATGATTACGTATTGTACTTTCTTGCGTTAATATTGCACTTATTCCGTGGAAGCATCGGGAAGATGACTTTTTCAGAGGGGGACCACGCCGCAGCGCTTCTCAAATTTGGTTATCGCCCTATTACACTTGTAAGTGCGGCCTTGCGCAAACCCCACCGGTTCACTAAGAAACCTCGAGATGATCTTAGATCAGTTTTATGCGATTATGCGCAGAAAGCCAACATTACAAATTCTTCGGGAACTTACATAACCGCTTGCGATAACACTGGAACATTGGATAGCACATTTATACATGCCGACAAGCTTCGCCGCTTGTCAGTTTATCGACGGCCAACGCTCTGTGTGCCAATCTGTTTCTGTTTTGCGGCCACAAGTTGGGCCAAAGACACAGTTTCATCTTGCACACGTCCACTGCTGCATTCTTCAGCACCACAACCCTTTGACACTATCAGCTTGCCATTGCACTCTACAATGTACTTTTCTGGAATACTGGATACTTTATTTTGCGGCAAGAAATAGTATGTGAGCTCTATGTCGAGGCTGAAGGCTGTGAAGCTAGCGAGGTTATTACAGCTAAGAAGCTTTGTGACAACCTGAGCGTTTTTGCCCCAAAAGGACGCAAAAACCGCTCATAGAGTCAAGTCTGACAGAACCAGGAATTGTTTAAATTAGGTGCAACTGATGAAAAAAATCAAATTGAATGCTGAACGTCCGGTGCGGCAGAAACAAAAGCTTGGTCACCGACGGTGACACTATACCTCACTGAAACATGTGCATATGAAATGCTCGGGATTTTTAAGCATTTACATTTGTGTCCGCTGTAAGCTATCGAAATTTGGATTACTGCTGTGTTGTGTGGTGTACCACTGGTATCACAAATCTAAAAAAAAGTTGTATATGCTCCAAAAAAGACCTATCCATTACATAGCAAATGTACCTTACCTTCATTCCACTGTTGAGCTTTTTCTAAATACAATGATATGCCTGTATATACTTTATTTAATTACAGGTTGACATTGATGCAGCGGTGTTTTCTGCAAAATAAAGAAAGCTACATTCGCAATTTAGCGAAGCTGAAAAAATAGGCCTATCAAGGATACCACATTCCAATAACAGGGCGGGAGGGGGGGTACCTTTAGGGCGTATGGTTGTGCGCAGTCATTGAGTTACACAGTAGCTAAACGATTTATTCTTCTTTTAAACGATGATTTTAATTTTTTGTCGCATCTAATAAAGATATGAGGTAATAATGTATGGGCAAGATCCCCACAGAAGGACAGCGCAAACAGAAATGAATGTACGCTCTGTTTTCGTATGTTTCTGATGTGTTAACCAATGTTTTATTTTTGCTATATGAACACGTAGGCGTTCAGTTTCCTGTTACATTCAGTGTCGTTGTTTCAGTGTGTAATAATGGGTGTAAGTGTGTATAATGAAGTTTTGTTCAGTAGCTAAAGTGTAGCTACTGCTTATTTAAATTATTGTAGAATTGTCAACTTTGATCATCTATAGAATTTTACGTCTTCGATTACATTTATATCTATGAATGTTCACTGCACTGCCATGTACGAGGGAGTCGGAACCCTTGTCAAAGCACTTGTGCAGCTATTACTTCCTTCCCCTCCTTTTTGACAAAGAAAAATAAAGACTATTTTGAAATTTGAAATATAAATTCGAAGAATACGCTATCTGGAAGAAGAATATTATGCGACAAACTGACCTTGTAAGACCTCAGATACTCTCGTGGCGTGATCTTGAGCTTGGAAAGGGCGCAGTAGAATGTGGATCCAGCCCGGTATGGCACCACCTGCGCACAGCGATGTGTCTATCGGTCAACGCTGGAATTCCACCACGGTTCCAAGTTTGTTCTTGCCCTTGGAGACATAATCTAGTCTTCCTATAGAAAAATGTGGCCATGTCGTATACTGAATGAATGGAAACAACTTTATTGGAAGTTCGGCGATGTTTAAAGCCCGAACTCAGATCTCCCATGAGAGGACTTCAAGGCCTTGCCTCGTCACCGCCTCTCAGCTCCGCTGGACTGGACACTCTTGCGTTCTGAAATCAGTGTTCAAGAGAGCGGCTGCCCACTTCTACGCAAGATAATACGGTTCTACTCCTGTTGAAGCTCCTGTAAAAAAGCGCTCCCACAGCATGTGCGAGAGTGTGACTCAAGTTGCCTGACGTAATTTGCAAGTAGCACTCGGGTATTGCGCGGGGAAAACGTGCCGCAATAGCACCGGACTGAGGGAGGTGTCTGCAGCTGTTGCCAGATGACTGCCTGGCATCGTTTTAGCTTAGGATAAGGTGGGGGCCATATATGCCTGTTTACTGGCAGTGCTTGGTAATGTCGTTATCCTGACTGCGGCAGCTGGATTCTCAATGAAGGCAAGAATGCTGTAGGCCCGTGTGCTCAGATTTGGGTGCACGTTAAAGTACGTCTGGTGGTCTGTATTCCTGCAGCCCTCCGCTACGGCGTCTCTCATAATCGTATGGTTATTATAGGACGTTAAATACCACATATCAATCATTGGTTATGTCCCACATATCAATGGTCATTGGTAATGATATACCTCACTAAGCGTTCTCCTACGTTTTGAACCAGGAGGTTCGAACTCGACAAGGCGGCTTCAGACTCTGCACGGCGGGTCATTTTTTGCACATAGCGGTGTGCCACCACGTTTGAATAGAGGGACCTTTGTTGATGGCGGTGGGAAAATGGGCTGGGAACCACAGAATCTCGGCGCTATCGAACTGCTGTCGACCAGCCTTCCTCAGAATATGTAGAGCTTCGGAAGAAATGCGTCCCCGTGCGTAGTTACAAACAGCGGATTGTGAGTTGCTAAAAAGTACCTCGCAGATGGGGTGGATAACCGCAAGCGCAATCGCAAACTCTTCCCTGTGTCTGGATAATTTGTACTGACACTGCACGCGTGGGGTAAAGCGAGAGTTAAAATCTACGACTACCGCCATGAACCAGTGTTTGTGTGTATATTCTACCGCGTTCACGAAGCGCGCAGTCCTCTCCCCACCAAATGGGGTGCAGCAGTGCTTTAGCACCAGCCTGGCGTCGGCCACCGTTATGTTGTGGGTGCATATTTCTAAGAGAAGGGGAAACTATCAGCGTGCCGCCGATATCCTTGTGTAATGTCCTGTTTCTGACTTTGTCGGACGGGATAATTCAGGGCGAGTTTCGCAGATGTAGCGATCCGTGGCTGTCAGAAGCATACGTTCGAGTTGCGACACTCTTTGCGTATCCATCATTTCTTCAAGAGTGCTGTATACCCCCAGTTGTAGCAGACAAGTGGTGCTCGTGGACTCCAGTAGGCCAAGGGCGATCTTGTAGGTATTGCATATAAGGGTGTTGGGTTTCTTCCTTTCGGTGACAGTCTAGTTGTGGAAGGAAGCCGCATAAGTGATGTGACTGATTGCACACGATTGTATAAAGCACATGACGCTGTCCTCCTTTATTCTCGTGTGCTTGTTTGAAATTTGTTTCATCAGGTAGGTAGCGTCTGTAACCTCCTTCAATATTTCTGCTAGTTTTGCTGTTTGATTCATCAGCAGCTATGAGCTTGCCAAGGATGCATAATTTGAGAACTCGGGGAATGCAGGAGTCGTCTTGCACATACGACTGAGTCGTATACTGGTGCTGATTGTTTGCGCGTTCTGGGATGGGTGAAGCAACCGAGAAATAAAAGAAGCTTGAGGGTACGATAACCGAAGGCGCTCGGAACTGGGGACATGGTGCTTCTAAGCTCATTTCAATAAACAAATATCTTAGTCAAATGACTCTTCGATGAAGCTGAGTCTAATCGCAGAGTCTGGAACGCCATCGTTTAAACATTTGGTGCTGACACCAGCTGAATTCCATTGATGAGAGGTTGAAAGCTAACAACAATGAGCTTAGATTGAACAGCGATATTGAGCACCACATTCATGATGAAAAGTTCATGGCCGAATATAACGCTGTCGTGGATTGTTTAAACAACGCTACTCGGATTCGAGCAGAGATTAGAAGCACGATAAATCGCATACTACGGTCGACGACTCCAACCAAAGAAAAGTTCGCTCAAAGAGCCGGAACACCATTTGACGGAAATGGCGCCGAATTGCCTAAATTAACAGTGGGTTCATTCTCTGTGTAACTGTGGAAATAGACTCTATTATGAGAGCAGTTCAACCAAACTGGACGCTGTTAGGTGACCAGTTTGGTCGAACTGCATCCTGGCCACAGAGAATTTGGTTAGCGGAATTTATTTGAAGGTAGATGCTGCATCGTAATAGCGGGCCTTCCGACGACTGAGAGCTCCTACAACGATGCCATCACCACGCGGTGGAAGCGTTTGGGAACAATACACGCCTAGAGGAAGAGTGATTTGTGAAGACTTGCATACTGAGCCCTCTTCACTCGCGAATTGACACCAAAGCTCTGCGCAGCTTGTATGACCAAGTTGACATCAATATCTGAGGCCTGTGTTGTGTTGTCACCTGTGCTCAGTCATCTGTCTAGTGGCACCACCTGCGTCGGGGACTGATATGGGTATGTTCAGTGCCTTCTAAAAATTATGCCTGAGACATAGACAGCGAACGCGCGGATAGCGTGTTTTAGAAGTGTTGAGTGGTGTGACACCGCCTTGCCGCCTGACCCTTTCGGCGTTGCCCGTAGCGGAGGCGCTGCAGTCTAATAGTACTGACAGAGCCGCGCGCCGCTTGCAGGAACTGCTTTGCGCTTCGGCTCCTACGTCACGCTTTCTTGATGGAGATTTCTTTGTACTTGCCCATAATTCATGTCTAGCACATGATGCCACAGGCCTTGAAGTATGACCAAAGCCCTTGTGAGAGATCGAAAATAATTCAGAAAATGCGTGTCTTATAGTGACTTGTTCTCTCTTAACCCTTCATTCGTTGGTTAGGCGTGTACAAAATTCGAAATACCTGACCTGATATATTGAAACTTAGCTGTGCTCTGAAAGCTGTGAGGTTAAAAACAAATACCGTGTCAGACGCACGTAGAACTAGGAAGCGATAAGTAAAGACGAGAGAGGAAGGGAATCTGAACCCCCTACACCACGAAATGTTTTCATAACTTAACTTTTCAGGGTATACTAAACTATTTACACACATTGACAGCGACCACCGATTGCCAAAGTAAGTAACTCCGCAGCAACCCCCTCCCATCAAACAAATTCCAGGTAGCTGTGCACCTAACGCTTACATTTGGCGAAGGTGAATATAGCATGCCTCTGTGCAAATGCGCACTGTATATTTCACCTTTTCTACAGTATGACGTCTTGAACTAGTTCAAGTCTAACGTAGTCGGACGAAAAATGCACTACCTAAAAATAGTAGCTGTGCTAGGGTCATTGCATAGATATTGTTAAGGGGGTGGTGACGTGTGACTTAAACGCGTGTACATATATATATATATATATATATATATATATATATATATATATATATATATATATATATATATATATATATATATATATATATATATATTAGGACGTCTGGGTTGAGACAGCGTTTATTCAGCCATGGGCTCAGCAGCGAACGGGCAGCCTGAGACCGAGCGCGCACACGCCCGATGATAATATGCATTATCATATTCATCATCATCCGTCCCTCTCCCCTCGAAAGCATAGGTTCGCCGACGAACCTCCTCACATCGCGGCCGAGCAAGCCCTGGAAATTTCTCGATGGAAAGGGGCGTGGTGATGCCGGGTTGCGTCATCCGTCGGGGACGGCCGTCGAACCGTCTCGCGCTTTCCCCCAGCCTTCGCTGCGCATCGCGCTGACGAAATGATGAGAATTTTCTGGAATCTCGCGCGGAAGGTATTTAACCGAGCAGAAGAGATGGGAGATCAGGAGATGAAGGAAGTTAGCGCCAATGTACGTAGGGTGTTCCGCCGTGTCGTCGGCAAAGGTTTTGTCCTCGGTGACAAAGCAGGAGAAGAAGGAATATTGCATCAGAGTGTGTAGGGTGTATGCCTTGTCGGCGAAGCCTCTTGTCCTCAGTGACACAGGAGGAGAAGAAGAGGATTTTCACCTGTTGGGTGAAGACTCGAGCTACAGGCAAGAGTGTGTGTCTACCGCTAGCGAGCGAAGACGCGTGGCAACAGCTGCGTGAAGGAAACTGACGTGTTTCCGGCGAAGAAGTTTGAAGCTTGGAGAGCGGCCAATTGAAGACGCGAGGTTTCCTGGGAGAGAAACTTCGGGGGCAGCGGAACGACAACAGCGCTGGACTTTGAGTGATTGATTCTCAAAAGAGTATCATTCAGACTTTTGTTCCAAGGACTTTGGACTGAATAAGTTTTCGAATTCTTTAGTCTAAGTGTCTTGGTTGTTCAATGCATGCGGCTGCATTGTAGTGCGTATTGTTGTTTGTGTGCGTTGTTTCAAGTGTGGCTGATTGTACTGTATAGTACGTTGTTGGATTAGTGACATATCGCATTCAACTAGTGTCGAGTGTGTATATTTGTGTATCGTTTTGATCTGCCATTATTGAGAATATAGTTTTGTTTTGTTTATCAATTCTCGGCTCTGACTTGTTCTTTGGGCCACAGCCGGCATCCGCTGGCGCGCCAAATAGGACCACTTCTAAATTGTCCACGTTTTCGTGATGCGGTTCGAGGGGCCGATACTTCGGCCCATGAAATTAGCCCGGCGATCGCCTCCCTAATTAATGGGACACGTGGCAATTAAGCTGGCGTCCGCGACAAGGACTTTTTGGTGCACAGTGTGTACAAAGTAGTGAGAAAGAGCCTCGAGTTGTTGATACTGCTATCGGA